AGCGAGGTCAGTGAGGGTTAAAGGGTCTATGAGAACAGTGAGGGCAAGGGGTTCTGAAAGGGCTTTGGAGTCTGAGAGGCCTATTGGGCCTGTGAGGGCTGTGGAGGCTCTGAGGGCTATGGGGGCTGTGAGGACTCCATAATTTTCACATGGTTAGGGAATATGTTCTTACAGCTTCTACCCTATAACTGATACTCCACAAACTTTGTTTTCAAGACTTCCTTGATAGTAGTTTTCTAAATTCAACAGATGTCAGAGCATTGTTATCCACGATAATTAAAGTTGAGTGGCCATTTGCTCTAAGTGAGGTTGTTGGGGTCTGTAGTGGGTTAACCTTGGCTGGATGCCAGGTACCCACCGAAGCCACTCTCTCACTCCCCTTTGCAACTGGACAGAGGAGAGAAAACATAATGAAGAGTTCATGAGTTAAGGACTGTGAGAGATCACTTACTGTTTACCATCACAAGCAAAACAGACTTGAAGTGAGGATATTCATTAAATCTATTACTAACAAAATCAGAGCAGGATAACGAGACATAAAATAAATCCTAAAAACACCTGCCCCCCCCAGCAGTGCAGGGAGGTGGGGAATAGGGGTTATGATCAGTTCATCACGAGTTGTTTCTGCCACTCAGAGAGAGGAGTCCTTCCGCTGCTCTCCATGGAGTCCCTCCCATGGGCAACAATTCTTCATGAGCTGCTGGAATGTGGGTCATATTTTCCATGGGGTTCAGCCCTTCAGGCACAGTCTGCTCCATCGTGGGTCTTCCCCCACAGAGTCACTGGCCACAGAAAACCAATACAGGGTCATTCAAAATGAGCCTTGGCCATGCCATAACATAATTTAACTGTCCTATTAATAGATGAAACCCACAGCAATCCCTCAGGAGTCACATACAGAAATAGCAGTGGCATTGTACACCCCTTCCCTGCCCTGCTTGTTCTCCACCGTGATGGGGATGATAAGATGCCATTGTAAAACTGCCAAGAAACTGAAGGGAAAAGGAATGCCATCCCAGCTCTGAGAGATCTCATGACTGGGAGATGATTGCAGGAAGATGGGGGGAGAGCAGAGGCCGCCGTGAAATTCCTAAGGTCAGCAGCAACATGTTTGTTGGAGCTCCTGTTTTTGTTATGATCCTGTGAATAAGGGTCCTGTGACCTCCTGGCCTGTGGCTTGGAAATGGGCTGGAGGATGGGCTGCTGGTGGATGCTCCTGGTGTGACTCCACCTGGCTTTTGGAAACTCCCCTAGCTTGGCCAGGTGCTTGGGATGACCCTGTGTTGATGGGAGCCAAAACACCCATCAGTGTTCATGAAGTGAGGAGCAAAGCTGGAGCTGTTGCCATTGTAAATCAACCCACCACCCCAAGCATCATTGCAGCACCTTGTCTGGGCACATCTTCTCTCTGCAGCACTTAGGGTAGCTGTTTGGAAAGCTGGGTATTGTTATACATGGAGAAATTGTTGGGGTTTTGCCCCTTGGTTTGGATGAGGAGGGACTTCTTTTTCAGGAAGAAAATGAGGACGGGAAAGTGAGAGTGTTGGCTGGTTTTGCTGGAGTGGCATTTGCTGTCTTTAGAAGCAACTGTATACTATCTTCATCCATTGGTTTTGTTGAACTCTGATTATGGATTTACTTCCAGTTATCAGTTAAAACATTGTAAAACGAATGGCTGGAGAAAGTCCAGGCCACATGTCCTATATATCAGTTCACAGTCGTCTCACAAACGATTACCAAGAACTGCAAAGATAGCAACTCATGTGACTATTATTTTTAAGAGAGTAGCCCTGCAGTTAGAAGGCATGTTTCTCTTAAAGAAGATATCCCAGAAATCCGTTAGTTTGTCATCTGGCAATACTGAAAATCAGAAATGGAGCCTGAAATCCATCTATACCTGGTTTCCCAGGAGAGGCTTAGCTTGTGGCATTTCCCTCTCCTGTTTTCCCTCGAGGGTGCCCAGATCCCCAACTCAACTGGACCCAACACCTATTTGAGCCTCCAGCTATTAGGAAACACGTAACTTTGCCTCTACATCCCTGTTCCTGACTTCCACCCCATGCACATGTGGTCACTGCAGGTGCTGGCAGACTTAGGCACACATATAACATGGTCTGGCTCTACAAGATAGAATCATGAAGATCAAGTCCAACCATTAAGCTAACACTGCCAGCTCCACCACTAAACTGTGCCCCCAGGTGCCACATCTATACATTTTTTGAACACTTCCATGTGATAGTGTCTGCCTGATTGGTTCTGGGTGTGGGTTTTCTCTTTTTCATGAGTTTGTAAGATTTGGGAGTCTTTATTCATGATGGGGGAGGGAGCTGTGGGCAGGCAGGTTTAATTGTCCTTCTCAAAGCAGAGAATCACTGGAAGTGATGGTGGTTGCTGGATCTGAACTGCTACAAAACCCAACAAACTCCTCTGAAAGAGGAAAAAGAAAAGAGGAGGAAAAAAAGAAGAAAAAAGAAATCTCTTTGCTGTTACACACACCAGTGAGTTGATGGAGGAGAGTTTCCCTAAAGAGACTCAGTTCCCAAGTCAGTGGAATACTTGGAAATTATTCTGTTGACCTGCACCAGGGCCATTTCCCACATGGTGGTTTTCTGGCTAAACCAGCATTTTTTAGGGGGTATTGGCACTGCTGAGCACTTGCATTTTTCATATTTTCATTGCATAGCAGGCCACATCTTTTTGATTTTATGCAACCTCTTCATCCTTTTGGAGAAGAAAATATCCAGATCCGAGCAGTGTTTGAGTTCCTGGCGTGATTGTGCTGACTAGCCCGGGAACAGGGTCTCGTTGTGATGTTAATTAGTATCTATTGACCTGTTTGGATGCAGTGGGGCGCGCAAGGGCTCTCAAACATAAGCTTACATAAGGAGCAGCCCAAGCGGTGTCTGGCTTCTGCCAATAAACTAATTGCTTTTGTCGGGACTGTATCTCGGCTGGAAGAGGAGCTGAAATCAATTTCTGGCTTCCAGCGAAGATCATGTGTCCCTGATACCCAGGCTCAAACACTGCATCTGTAATCATCACTTTTTCTGCGCAAAATTCATCCAAGTTTGGATTCAAAATGCTCTGTTCATAGAGTTTAATCTTTGTTTCAAGTGAGTTACCAGGGTGGATAATTAATTCCATGTACCCCTGGGCAAGCAGAGTGGGTGGCAGTCTGGGTGGCAGGGTGGGATCTTAGTCCCACCATGCAGAATAGTTTTCCTCTTCGGTCTTGCCCCCTTGGTCCCTCTTTACATTCCTGTCAGGGAGAAAAAAAAAAAGTGTGAATTGCATCAATATTTGCTGTGATGAAGATGAGAAATGGGTTTATTTTAATATCCAGGGTCCTGCTTAGACACAGAGAGCAAGAGAACAGCCCTAGTAGTCAGATTATTGCAATATATATCTCTTTGGCAATGTGATGTGTTTAGCACTTTTCTTAAAATCCCGTCAAACCGTCTCTTCTTGCTCGCGGTAAACGAGGGGAGCGCTGTGTCCTAATTAAGCTGTTTGCCACAAGCAAAGCTCAGCTTCCCAAATTGCTGTGAGAGCAACGCCGGAAGCCAGGCTCTGGTGTGGGGGAAAGGCAGATGCACTTAAGTTTTCCTTCCTAGACTGTTGGTGGAGAGAAAATTGGTGTAGTGAGATCAGACACAGAAGAGCGAGCTGGGGAGCAGAGGGTCGTGGTGGGACGGGATTCCCCGTGATGGAGCCGGTCCCCCCGGTGTGCAGGCACAGCTCCTCCCGGGAATGTTCAGCTCCCTCCCAAACCCCGTGGCCTGCCTTCCCCGGGGAGGCGTTCGTTTGAAGGCTTCATTTCACTCGCACGCCCTGCATAAAGCAGGCAGAGAGTAAACATCTCGTGTAGCCCCAGCCAGGCGGACGAGGTCTGAGCCGTCTGCAGCTCTGGGCAGGACCCTGGGGGAAGGCAGGGCTGCCCGCCCGGGTGGCGAGGAGTCCCCGCAGCCGATAGGCACCGTGCCAGCCCTGCTCGCCGGCCGTCTCCGCGGGCAGGCTCGCCCAGCAGAGCGGCTGCGGCGCTGCCAGGAGCCGGCTGGCCTGCCCGCAGCTCTGCCCCTGCCCCTTTATACGGGGCAGCCACGGAGGTGGGGCTGAGCTCTTCCCGTTCCGTCAGCATCCCAGGGTGCGGGACAGCGAGCGCTCAGGGTAGCGAGTAACGGGATCGGCTTCGAGATGGGGAGGAAGCTGGACCTCTCCAAGCTAACCGACGAAGAAGCCAAACATGTTTGGGAAGTCGTTCAACGGGACTTTGATCTGCGGAAAAAAGAGGAGGAACGGCTGGAGTGAGTATCGGCTCTGCGCTCCGTGCGGTTCCAGCACGCCGCAGCTGCGGGTCGTAGGGATAAAGCAGCGTGCGGGTTGTAGGGATAAAGCAACCTGCCGAGGCCGTGGGCGAGGAGGAGCAGCCGGGACCTGACTGTGCAAGTCAAACACGGCTGATAGATTACGTTATCAGCGGCAAGGTGACGCGTTCGGGTGGCAAAGGTGCAAACTGGCACGGTGCCCTCGGCGGCGATGCGGATCGGTGACACCGCGGCAGTTTATGGGACAAATAGCAGGAAATGCCTTTGTGGGGCTTGGAGTTGGCGGGGCTCTAGAGGCGAGACCTTATCTTGCAGCAGAGGATGAGATTTGGCTCTCCTGCTTTTGCTTCATGTGATAGGTCTCGTGTGTTTAGGGCAGGAGGGGTGTTCAGTGAGTCCTGGATGACCACAGGCTCCTGAAGGATCCTGGAAAAATAACTGAGGGGAGTAGTAAACCTACTGTAGTAGCCTTAAATATGCTATACAGGGGGCTGTGCCGTCCTGGGAAAGTTTTAGAGGCTGACAGACTGGGAAAAGATTGAAAATCGCAGGAACAGCAAATTCCAAGAACTTTTAAGTTCTTACAAACAGGGCATTTGACCGGAAGTGCTGTTTAAAAAATGTTCTGTCAGATGAGATTAAATTCTGAGCATGAGAAATTGGGGGGGTTTAGGTCTTGTTCATTAGCTATGTCAGGCATTGAATCTAATAGTGTCTTAACGCATTTCAAGAAGCTGCAGTGACCCTCTTCAGCGCCTGGCCAAGCTCTTGTTATTTTCCCAAGGGGATAGTCCATGTTCCCAGGCTGGGTTCAGGCAGTGCTGCCCTCCCACTGAGCCCTTGGACGCTCCTAGTCCTGAACTTTGTGAGCCGGGGCTGATGCTGATACCATGGCAATCCCTGGGGACCAAGAGCTCATTAGTTCCTCTGTCAGATGCAAAGGGAAAGGTGGGGAATCATATTCTTCATTTGGGATATCTGCATCCCCCAAAAACTGGCTGTCCTGCGAGCCTCTCCATTTACACCATTAGCCACGAGAAGCTCTCAGTCATATATTTTTCAATGCCCTGATTACTTTTTTGCCTAAAAACCCCCAGCCTGTGTGGGAGGCAGAGATAATTCAGTATCATCATCTACTGCCTTCCTCTGCTGGCAGCTCTGAAATGCAGGAAGCTGATTAGACAGGGATATTTAAAAAAATTATCATCCTGGAAAGGGTGAATGTCTCCCTTGTGATGGATCTGAGCTCTGCCTTGAGGGAGGAGGTGGGGACCCATATTGCTGTGCCCTGCAGCAGAGAATTGGGCGAGGTGAATTCCTTCCCTACTTGACCTTGGCGCCAGACTGGCTTATATGAGTCCTCTCTGATGCCCAGGAAGCTTCCAAATGGAGTGTCACGCTATGGGAGGTGTAAGATGGGGAAAGATCTCAGGTCTCAGAATACTTCTACTCAGCTCTCCTCCTAAGTGTAATTTCCTCTGTTTATTTTTATTTTCTTGTTTAATCCTGCCCTGTGGAGGGCTGGCATTAACACTGTAAATTACAGAAATTTCTGTAATTTCTGAATAATTTCTGCTATAGACCAGATGATCAGTCTGGGAAAATCTGCCACATTCCTGCATGCTGGACATGGAGCATTTTCTGCCTGTAACAAGCTGGGACATGATGTGACACTCTGGGAGACCCTGCAACCATTCACCCTTCTCTCTGTGCTCTGAACAGCCCCATTTGCTTTTCTATTCATTTGCTTTTCTATTCACTGGACTTGTCTCAACCTGCAAGCCTTGAAGAAATGTCTCCCCCTGCCCAACCACCCCCACCCCCAACCCCCCCATCTTGGTCTTTTTATTTCCTTTCTGCTTCTCTGTATTTTGTTTTTGGCAGAAGCTACTCACCAACAACAGACAAAGGCTTCTGCTGGCCAGAAACTGCACAGGCATGTGAGGGTAGTGCTTTGCCCAAAAAATTAAACAATGGCCATTTTGTGGGGGCTCTCCCTGATTCTTTACATAAACATCCCTTCCCACAACCCTGTTTTGGAGGGATGGCTCCCTGCGTCTCTCCTGGAGCTCAGTAGGACCAACCCTGCTGCAGTTGGCATCCCATTGCTGTGGATTTATTTATTCTACCGTGAGCAGAGCAGGGAAGGGGCTGGCTTGTGCTCCTGCCAGCAAGAGGAGACGAGAGGCATGTAGTTCCTGCAGCTTTTAAACTGGTTTGGCTGAGACTTGTCCTTCCTTTGGCAGGTTTGGTGGGTGAGGGAGTAGAGGTGTAGGGATCCAACCGGTCTCTGGGAACCAGAAAAAGCAGTTCAAGTAAAAGACTGGATCCTGCTGGCAACAGCCTTAGCACGGGAGTGGAAAAGGAGCACTGAGTCCAACCCAAGGGTTTTCTATTTGCGGGTTTGGTTTTCGTAGCCACATATAACTTTACTGCTGGACATTTGCACCGGCTTGTTCGAAACACTGCAAGGATGGTGAATGGCTGATTATAAAAAGCCACGTGCCCAGTTCAGTCTTTATACTGTTTTTTATATCTCCTCGATCCTTGGTTAATGCAAGCTGGTGTCACTGCTGTGTGAGAGCACAGCCTAGTGTGCTGGTAGTAAGCTGGCCAGAAAAGTCTTCCTTGGGAAAAAAAAAAAAGAGCTGCTCCCTAATGTGCAAACTGATTTGGTTAAACAGAGATTAGCTTGATTGACATGCCTGTCATTCCCAGTGCCAGTCACACCACTGCTCCTGTGGCCAGCAAGGCTCCTCCTGTGGTCACCCCGGCGTCGGTCCAGCGGCCGACACGGGGAGCATCACCAAAGCCTCGTGGTCCACACTGTGATCATGAAGCATCCTCCAGACCTGATGGCTTGTTGTTTTTGGCCAAAGCTAACTTCTGCTCTGGAAAATACAGCTTCCTGATCCTGCCTAGGCAGAAAACAACCTTCTAGGACCTTCCCTACAAGTCAAACATTTTCCTCTCAGCCATGGCCCCAAAGGCAAACATACCTGAGGTGATGCGTGGTGTAGGGAGCAAACAGAAAGCCTTTGGGCAGCACACTGGGCCCCCAGCAGCTTGGCAGGCATTTCAGGCCTGGGCTGTTGCTGGGGGTTCAGCCTCGTGCAGGCACTGTCTTGCATGGGGACCTGCTTTAGCAGTCAGGTTCAGATCATGAAGGAAGCCTGCAGTGATAGATTGCCAGGAGAAGGTACTCTTGGGATACGCTTGTCTTGGACAGCCTTTCACAGGACTGTCACAAGCAACTCCTCCTGCTGCGTCCTCTGAACAGCCTGAACAGCCTGAAAGTCATTGCACATCACTTAATAAAATTCTCTGCTGAATTTAGCACTGAAGAACTATATCAAACCCCCTTTTAATCCTTTTTAATCCCAGAATTCTTTTTTTTTTCTTTTTAACTGAGAATTCCAGAAAGATTTTAATTCTCTGCTGGACTCCAGGGCCAAAGATTGTATCAGGTTGGCATGCAGCCAGAGTGTTCAAGAAGAGCCACTCTCCTGAGATTTCTGGGATTTATGATCAACACCCTGTGAAACAAACAGGACAGGTTTTGGCACAACCAAATCTAATATTAAACTTAACAGTGGCAGATCCTAATATATCTGATGATACCTGCCCTGAACCTGGTGCCCACTTCTTTGTTCAGCTTATTTAACTCGTGATATTATTTATTAGATTTGCCCTACAGCTCTTTCCACAAGCTGCAGGACTCGGAATGTTCCCTGGAAAATCGTTTCTGAAACGAATGAGGCATAACAGGGTTTGCCATGTTAGACTTTGCAGTGAAATGATAATAAAAACAATTCCTGTGTTTTGGGGTGTTTTCTGCAGGGAGCTGAAATGCAAGATTGACCAGGAGAGCAGCAAGAGAGAGTTCTTGACAAATCAGTCCCACCTCAATGAAACTCACTGTGTCCACTGCCTCCAACCCTTCAAGTTCCTGCTGAACAGCAAGAGGCAGTGCCTGGACTGCCAATTCTACACCTGTAAGAACTGCAGCCGCTACAACAAGAAGGAACAAGGCTGGGTCTGTGATCCCTGCCGCCTCTCCAGGTCCTGCTCCTCACGAAATCATGGAATGGTTTGGGTTGGAAGGGGCTATAAATACCAACTAGTTCTGCCCCCCTGCCATGGGCAGGGATACCTTCCACTAGACCAGGTTGCTCCAAGCCCTGTCCAACCTGGCCTTGGACATTTTCAGGGATGGGGCAGCCACAGCTTCTCTGAGCAACCTGTTACAGGGTCTCGCCACCCTCACAGGGAAGAGTTTCTTCCCAATATCCCATCTAACCCTGCCCTCTGGCAATGGGAAGCCATTCCCTCTTGTCCTGTCGCTCCAGGCCCTTGTCCAAAGTCCCTCTCCAGCTCTTTTGGGAGCTCCTTTAGGTACTGGAAGGTGCTCTAAGGTCTCTCCAACACTTTCCCTCCTCCAGGCTGAACAAGCCCAACTCTCTCAGCCTGTCTCCATAGAAGAGATGTTCCAGCTTGTATCTGTGCTTGGGATTGCCCTGACCCAGGTGCAGGACCTTGCATGTGGCCTTATTGATCTTGCTGAGGTTCACACCAGCCCGTCCAGGTCTCTCTGGATGGCATCCCTTACCTCCAGCACATCAACTGCACCACACAGCTTGGTGTCACCAGCAAACTGAGGGTACACTCAATCCCACTGTCCATGTCACCGATATACATGTTAAACACTGCCAGTTCCAATATCAATCCCTGAGGAATGCCACTCGTCACTGACCTGCTGTGATGGAGGCCATGAGGGACAAGGCAAGCCTCGGGGATGGGGCTCAACAAGAGTTGCCCAAATTCAGCATCCTCTTATGCTGGTTAGAAAACACGCCGTGTTTTTGCTAAGAGGTGGTTTCTGGGTGAGGGTCTGCTCACCATGGGTGTGGCTGGACTGGCTCATGTATGTGCATCCTCTCTTTGGGCAGGATCGTGAAGGTCGGGTCCCTGGAGTGGTACTACGAACACGTGCGATCCCGTTTCAAGAGGTTTGGAAGTGCCAAAGTGCTGCAGTCCCTCTATGGCAGGCTGCAGCCAGGGCAGGGGGTCAACTCTGCATTTCTAGGTGAGGAGGGGCACTGGGGTTTCCCCTGCCCTGCTGCGCATGGGGCATCTGTGCGGCACCGCGTTGGGATGCACCAAGGGAGGAGCATCAGTGCTGGTGCTGCTCTGAGTGCCACGTTCAGAACATCCTGGGGAGGAAGCAGAGGTTCAGACTTGTGCATTCACATGCAGAGCAGATGTTGTTCAGTGTTTTTACCACAGACTTGAGAATATAGGATCATTAAGGTTGGAAAAGACCTCTAGATCGTCCAGTCCAACCATTATCCCAGCACTGACAAGCCCACCCACTAAACCATGTCCCCAGATGCCATTTGTATATGTTTTTTGAACACTTGATTTCACTTGATGGTGATTACACTGCTTCCCTGAACAGCCTGTTCCAGTGTTTGACTACCCTTTCAATGAAAAAAAAGAAGTTCCTAATATCTCATGTTTATTTTTAAAAGTTTCATGTCCTGCAGTTTGCAGCTCTTGTTTTTCTTTGGTTTTGCTCTTTTCATCACAGAGTCTGTGAAATTAACACTAGTTTAACAGCAGGATAAAGCCAGCACCCATTTATTTTCCCCGTGATCTAATGATTTTTACAGGCAATCTGATGATCCCCTGGCAGGGACAAAACTTATCAAAATGAATAAGTTACCTGTAATCAGTATTTCTGATATTGGTCCAACAGTGCATAAATGTATAATGATGTTAATACAGAACTATTTACTGACCAGCTGCTAGTTGCCATGCATACAGCTCCTACACTCCTTTGCCTATTGCCTTTGTAAGCCAGTGTGGATTTTATTCCCGTCTTGAGGAGCCACAGAAAAGTTTGCACAAATACCATTGGCATGACTTGATTCAACTGGTCCAATCACTCTTTTATCCAGACCACTCTTGGCAGAAATAGCAGAAAAAGCATGGAGGGTTGTGGCAGGGAATATAAAATTAATGGACTGAGAGACAATTCATGCAGCATTTGATCAAAAAATGCATCAGACCACGCAAAAAGGACAATCTAAGAGAAAACCAGACCAAGCATGAGATTGTTTTAGGCCACTTTAAATTGACATTCTGATGCCTTTTTCAAAAAGAAATTATTTTGTTGTTTATTACTTCATTAATACCAGGGAATTTGAAGTGAGGCAATCAGCTCTCTGGCTTTTAAAAGTCAAGTCCTGTCTCCAAGTGCCTGTTTTGTTCTCTCTAAATCATCTTTTTCATGACTGTTTCTTATGATGGCTAGAGAATGAGAAGTCCAGTTATCCATGGCTCTGAGGCTTGTTGTCTACCTGAGAAAATGTGATTACTTATTTTTATTTTATCTTTTCATTTAGGTCTTCATGACAGAGTTTACAGCCTGCCAGACATTAACAGTAAGTAAAAAAGAGAATTGCAGCATGGGGCTGGCAGTTCAAGCAAAGTTTCCAATGTCTTTTTCTCTTCACACCCCCTGGCTATGGGCATTCCGGAGAGATCTGGTGTGGCCAGACCAGGGAAAACATTCTTCCACTGCAGTGGAGATGGACTGAAGTGGTCAGCTCTTGCACTGTGGTACATCTGTGGTGTCCAAGGGTAGACTCGGATACAACAGGACTTTTGGTTACGTGCCAAACTCAAAGTTTGCAAACACTCACCATCTCAATGTACACTTATGGCATGCACTTAAAGCTGCCCACATTCTTAAGGAACCCATGGAATTTGGGATTTCATGTTGTGTTCCTTAGGAGCCCTTGCAGGAAAGATTCACTACACCTTGTCATTTGACGTAGGAAACAGCTTTTTGCCTACCTTGACTTTGGACTTGATCTGGCATTTGGGCTGTTCCCAATGTACTGCTGGGCTTGGCAGTGACCTGGGTATGGAGATGGGCATCCAGAAAGCAATGGGTCACTGACAAATAGTGGAGCTGGCTGATGGGAATCAGAAATAGCAGAAGCAGAGACATGTTGGCCTGAGCCTTCAAACACTGGAGTCACCATGGTGGACCTCAGGGTGCTTCCTGTGGTGCAGGTGCCCTTCGTCTTCCTGAAGGAACACCTTCACTTCCACATCTGTGACGGTGCACATCTGGAAGGGGAAGCAATGAAAGGCCAGCCAAGCCTTTGCAAGGCCAAGTGCTAAGAGTGGTTGTCTGCAGAAGAAAATGTGGGGAGGTATTTCTAACCTGGACCTTTTCAGCCCATATAACAAGCATGGCCTCACCTGCAGGTACATTCATTGGTGTGACCACCATGGTGGGGACTTACCTACTGCTGTTGTCTCCCCTCCAGGTGAGTGCCAGCTGCTCACCAGCTGTGATGCTGGGGACGACAGTGACGATGAAGACCATGTCCTTCGTGGAGCTGAGGCAGAGCGGTACAGCAGAGTAAGTGTTTTGTTCTGGAGCTCTATTGCCTCACTCTGTGTCCTTGGCCTGCCTTTGGTGGTGGTGGTGGCAGTGGTGGTGGTTTTCTGTGCCACTTTCAAAACTGGACTTTTATCTCTGTTTTCCTTCTCCGAGACAAAATCTTTTCGCAGTTTATATAAAAGCAACCGTGTCAGTAACATCACAAATACTTGTGCTCTGGAAAAAAAAAGACCCACTCCTAACACTAAGGGTGTCCACAATTAGTATAAAAGTTCCAGCTCCTCCATAATGGAACAGGAGAACGGCCTGGTTTTTTTTTTACTGATGACCTCCCAAATATCCAGAGAAATCTACCTGCAGCATCCTTTCTCTGAAGATAGGGGGATGCTTCAGGACTGAAAAGCATCACCTCGCTCTCCCTCTCAGCTGTAACCTGGCTAAGCTTTCCCATAGTGCCTATATAAACCAGGACAGAGCTTTTCCCTGTCTGCTTATAGCAACAGTCCTGAGCCAGAGGCTGTGGAGATCAGGAATCTACTTTTCCTTGCCTTCAACGTAAGCATTTGCCGTACCTGGCTCCCTTCAAGCAGGACAGTGTCAGACAAATTCTCGCTGCAAAATCAGAGCAAACTCAGGCAAACTAAGGAGAAAAGGACCCTCCCTTCCCCTTTCCTCAAGGTCAACTGTGTTTTATGCTGAATTTTCATTTCTTGCACTTTCTACGCTAAGATGTGCAAGACAAAGCGCCTGCTGTCTGTCCATCCCTTTGATTTTGAACTGGACTCGGATTACTCTGCTCAGTCTCGCCGTCAGTCTGCGCAGCTCTCCCCGGCAGCCAGCAGCCCGGATGCTTTCCAGGTACTGGGAGTGTGCTGAGGGGTTTTTTCCTTTCTTCCTCCTACTCCTTGCTACCTCTGCTACCCCCCTCCTTCAGCTCTCAAAATCTCCTTCAGCTGGTGTTGGGAGGCAATGGTGCCAATCTTCACTCCCCATATCCCGCTTCCTATCTCTTCTCCCATTGGAGTCCTTTGCCTCAGGCTAAGTCAGGAGTAGGGCATCTGATCCAAGTGAGGATGAGATGAGACAGCAAGAGGTTCTCAGGCCTTTTCCCTGCAGATTTCCTTTCTCTCTGCAGACAAAAGTTTTCTTGTGTTGTCCCAAGGCTATGGGACACCTTAATTTCCAGCGAGCCCTTGAAGATTCAGTGCTCAACGGATTAAATGAAATCAGACTCTTCTCCCATGTTCCCATCCAGTTTGGGGCTGGTTTTGCCATGTTGTGGCACTGGGGACATAGTTGACCATCAGCTTCTTGAGGCACACAAACTTTGTGAGGTTGAGGTGGATCCCGCAGGGATGGGACCTGCAGAGTGAGGGCCAGCCAGAGGGAAAAACATGGGGAGAACAAAAACTGCAGGGATGCTGGTTATTTCCATATAGGAGTCTAGATGTGCCTTAATATCCGGAGCTCCTGACCAGGAACAAGACTCACAGACAGTGAGCTGCACCCCGTGATCCCACCGAGGGCTGGGGCTCAGCCATCCCTACCTTCCAGGTCTGGGCAGAAACACAGATGGGGCAGCTCTGGGTGTGGCAAAAGGTCTTCCAGCCTGGGAGGCTTCCAGTCAAAATTTTAGGGCTGCTCCTGTTTACCTTTCTTGTCGAAATTGCACTTTTAAAACACTAAACAGCTGCTTCTTCTAATGATGCTGTGGTACTTTAAACTTCCCTCATGGGCAGAAGTGGGATTTGCTGACATCTGTAACAAAGGCTTAAAAAAAATAAATCTGCACGATTCCATATAAATTGATTAGAATTTGGCAAAAATAAGTAGATTCCTCCTTTCTTTATCTGAACCCATCTTTATGCAGCAGAATTCAGCGTGAGGGCTGGCCTCTGTTGAGACCATCCAAATCATATTCACTGATTGCAGATCATCTGAGGTGGTAGTTCTTTGAATAAGAGAAAGGGGGTGGTGTTTTAAAAGATCAGAGTGCTTTGCAGCCTGGCTGAAGGGACTCTATGCTTGTAAAAATTAAGTGCTTGCAAAAATTACCAGTGCCCCCTGGCCGTGATGGGAAGTATTGCTCAGGGTTCAGCAGCCAGGCGAAATCTTTAAATCGGATTGTTAGGAATTTTGATATTTTATATAAATATAACTGGCATTATAAAAGGTCAATCCATGGCCTTTGACCAAAAGGTCAATGAAGGATAAAGAGAGGAGATGTTACTGAAGATCAAGAGAGACAAGGAGTCATAGAATGATAGAACAGTTTGTGTTTGAGGGACCTTAAAGCTCATCTCGTTCCACCCCTTGCAGTGGCCAGAGACACCTTCCACTAGACCAGGTTGCTCCAAGCCCCGTCCAATCTGGCCTTGGACACTTCCAGGGGTGGGGCAGCCACAGCTTCTCTGAGCAGCCTGTGCCAGGGCCTCACCACCCTCACAAGGAAGAGTTTCTTCCCAATATCCCATCTAACCCTGCCCTCTGGCAGTGGGAAGCCATTCCCTCTTGTCCTGTCACTCCAGACCCTTGTCCCAAGTCCCTCTCCAGCTCTTCTGGAGCCTCTTTAGGCACTGGAAGGGGCTCTAAGATATCCCTGGAGCCTTTTCTTCTCCTGGCTGAACACTCCCAGCTCTCCCAGCCTGTCTCCAGAGCAGAGAGCCTCCAGCCCTTGGAGCATATTTGTGGCCTCCTCTGGACTCACTCCAGCAGCTCCATGTCCTTCTGGTGTTGGGGGCCCCAGAGCACTGCAGGTAGGATCTCTCAAGTGGAGTTTTCACAGGCAGCTGCTCAACAGCATCCTCATCTCTCAGTCCTTCACAGATTTCCCCAACTCAGCCGAAGGTGCCTCCCAGGAATCCAGGATTGCAGATGCAGATCTAGTCTTCCATCATGTCCTGCAGGAACAGGGACCAGGCATGAGCCCTCCGGAGCAGCACTTCAGCACACAGGTTCGGCTCACTGTCAATTCACGGAGAAGGAGCCTGGAAAGAAATCCAAAACCTGGTAGGTGTCCCTGTCCAGGCTCCTCTTGTATCCTTTTTGGACAAGTGGCTGCAAGAGTTGGACCAAATGAAAATGTCTTTTTTTTTTTTTTTTTCTGAATAACCTTGAAGACACTAAAAGGCTTCTTCTCATGAAACAATGTGCTTGTGTTAGTTAGTTGTAAAGAGCTGGTGTTGTTCCCAAGAAAGCCAAGGGGATCATTCTTAGCATGTCAATCCCTTTCATACCTACTGGTCTTTTCTAGGGTGGAAACTAGATACAATCAAATGGACACTACTAGAAACAATAGGATGTGTTTCCTGCTGGAGGCAGAGGTAGAGGAATTCAACATCTTGGCAAAGGATCTTGTGGGTGCAGAAAGTTTCTTGAGTTATAAGGAGACTTGAACTAGAACTGGAGGCAGGAACTGGGGACTGCTAAGTAACATCCTTTTAGCTGGGCAGGGTGCACATGTAGGCCAAATTATCTGTGGTTTTGCGAGTCTATAAATACCCTGTAAGAGGCAGAATTTGCCGTTTACTACTTCTGTTTTCCCTGCAGTGATAGCAGAGCCAGGAGGGTTGGGTACTGGCTTGTGCACATGCAAATGTAGAATGTGCCCTTCTGTGTCTCCAGTGGCTGGGCTGTGTTTTCAGGGCATTAAGGAATGCTGGGTAGACCTTACCACACGCTGTTTAAATTCCTACTCCAAGTCCTGCTAGAAAGACATAGCAGCACGGTCCCCTGGGTTGTTAATTCCGTTTTCTCTCATTGTTTTTGTCTCTTGAAATTCTCCTTTGTGAAGGAGCCAGTCCACTCCTGTTAAATGCTCCATCCTGAAGTGGTGCCTCTCTAGCCTGAGCCTAAATATTTTCCAGCAGCTCACAAAGGGCAGTGTCCAAACCTTGGGTCCCACAAAACTGGGAAGGCAACAGTGGTTTTTGGTGAGGGGCCTGGCTTTTCAGGGCATGGGAGCAGTGATGATGCTCCTTGTGCCCAACACTGTCTCTGCAGGGTGAGGAGCCCTGCTGAGCCTGGAGCTGTGCAGCCACAGTGTGTGGAGCTGCAGCTTGGTCCAGTGTAGTCATCCAGAAACTTGGTCACTCTTGCAGAAGCACCTCCTGACAAATAGAAAGTGTGATCTGCAAAAGTGCCTCCATATTTGCTTAAGGGTGGGGCCAATGTCCACGAAGGAACTCAAGGGTGTGAATCTCTTGCACCTTTGTGCTGAAGCCTTCTCTCTCCAAAGGTGGCTCCTGGAACGAGCCGTCCCAGTCCCGGTACTCCGCAGATATGGACACCTCTGATGAGGATGTGAAGGGAGCCCAGTTCCCTGCCTACCCACCCCATCACACAAAACGCCGGAACAGAGCCTCCTCTCAGGAGAACATCAGCCACTCTGGCAATCAGGTATCAAACAGCTTTTGAGTCTCTTCTGAGACCAGGTCTGTGGCCAGGTCCCTCTTGTTACTACCCCTGAGCTGCAGGGTGGTTTTGGAGGAGAAGAGAAGCAGCAATGGCACTGTCCAGCAGTCTCCTGGACAGGATGGATGTGGAGCGTGAGCAGAAAAGCTGGTGTGCCCTAAGTATCCACACAACTGCTGCCCCATCTGCACAGGGATGGGTTGATGCCCTTGTTTCCAACATGTGGGTCCAGAGGAGCAGACCTCTGTAGACTTGAGATATCTCCTCCTCTTCTGCTCAGGACTGGGGTGTAGCCACTTGACATTGCCAGAACACTACAGAGAGGCTGTGGAATGACCTAGGAACTGACTCATTGAGGTGTCACATCACAATTTTGATGAATTCGCAGGATGAATACCCAGGAGATTTCCTGCCTTCTGTGTTGTGATGGACCTGCCAAGGTGGTTGTGAAATGGAAGCAGGACTGAGACCTGGGAAGGTGCATTCAAGCCTCCTTCATTCTTTAAGATGAGGGAGAACAGACATTTCTCTGCTGTTTTAGGATGATGCAGAAGTATGCTGGAGCTCTGTGCTTCCTCTTCCAGGTTCTCCTTCCTACCCTTCCACTTCTTTGGTCACAGCAAAGAGAAAATCAGGCACTGGTTGGTGCTTCTCTCTGCCTATGCTGCCAGCACAGTAACAAACTTGCCTTCATTGCTGTTCATTTTCCAGTTTGTCCCAATTAATATGTGAGTTGCCTGTGTTTTTCTGTGTCCCCAAGAAGGCTTTCTTCAATTGAATGTGCCAGTGCTTTATGATCAGACAGAGGTTTGGAGGGGGTTATTTAATAAGTGCCAAGATTCTTCTCCTCCTTCGCAGTGTGTTCCTGCCCCGGCAGGACTGGGTCAGGACAACCTGTCACGTACCTCTCCTGAATGATCCTAATAGGGGAAACAGGCTAAAGAAGGTGTCAAACAGGCTGTGAGCTTGTGTTTTAATTGCCAAGCAAGGACCTGCTGTTCCTGATGCTGCTTTTGCCAACGGTTGGTGGTGAGCGTTCCTCAGATCTCACGAGCAGCAAAACGCAGGGTGGTGTTTGGCTACAGATGCACGGGGAAAGCCAGCTGCCAGTCTCACAGCTGGTAATTTTGCATGTCCTGGACCCCTCTTTGGGTAACCACTGGGGGGATCTGTGACCACAACCATCCCTTGGCACCACGCTTCATGTGCCTGTGTAGGGAAAGCTTTCCTTCCTTTTTTACTTCTCTGGGCACATGCTTTAATTAGTAAATGCCATTCCTTTTTCAGTCAGCAGTAAATAGGAGAGCCCTGGACTGGGTGTCCTTAATGAGGCCACGGTACGTTAGGCATGAAATGTGCACCAGGGGGAAATGGGGCCAAATTCCTACCAATGCCTCAGATGACTTCCTCCAGGAGCTGGGCAAGCTCTCCCTTCAGGGCGATCCAGCCTGTGTTGTGGTTTGCTCTGTCACACCAGTAGGAAGGATGATGTGGAGCCTTGTCACCCTAATGGTTTAGAGACTTCTTCTCACTCCCAGTTTAACCCCATTTGCTCTTATGCCAGCATCGTTCATTAGCTTAAATAGCTCCTCATCCTCCCTGCCCTTTGTGCTGCTGATGTGTTTACAGCTAGCAACCATCCTCCCACCCAGCCTGCTTCTCTCCCAGCAGGAAGAAACCCAGCTCTGTGCTGGACCATTAACTTCAGAACGATGCTCACATGTCACTTTTGGCCAAGGAGAGGCCAGGTACAAGCCCAAAGAAGAACGAAGGCAAGAACCCCCAGGTTTTGGTGTTAGATGCTGCTGTTAGAACAGCTCTGTTCTATTGGCAGAGCTGGTTGGAAAAGGTGTCCATCCCCTTGTCCTGACATTGGAGCAGTGAAGGAGTGGCTGTAGAGTTGCTTACAGGCACTTCCAGGGTATGCCATGTAGCCATCATCAGAGCTTCCGGGGTAACCCAGGTCCTGATGGGACATCCCAGGGAACAGTGAGGATAGCTGAGTACAGCTGGTCCCTCTGTGCTGCAGCTTGCAGAGGCTGTGCCCTTTGCAGTTCAAGATGTTGGTCTGCAGGTGTACAGTCCAGAATCATGTTTGTTAACCCTCTATTGCATCCTATAGCCTGGCTTTAAATGCAGTGTTTTCCTGGTAGACACCTTGTTGGTATCTGAAGATTTCAAAAGGTGGAGAGCTCAGCTCTTTGATGAGACAGAATGAAAACTCTCTTTCCTAAAGCTACTTTAAGGGCAAGTTTATCAAAATCTGGTTGATCTGAAAACTGCTTTTGCATTAATTCTGGAGAGGATACACTGTTCAGCCCCGAACACAAGAAACTTAACTTTTCCAGTAACAAAAGCAGAGTCTGTTCCCTAGGTCTGTGACTGCAGGAACTGAAGGTGCTAGAACAAAACTTAGAAAAAACTCTAAAACCTATTTAGAAAAGCTCTTAAACCTGATTAGATGTGAAAAGAAGCCCTGAATTGGTAACTGTGCAGGTCTTTGCCTTCAGGTTCTTACAACTCAGAGGACAGGACCAATTCACAAGGAATAGCTCCAATTTACCAAGTTTCTCCCCAAAAGCCATCCTGCTGTACCTCAAGGGAGCTCAGTGGTTCTGCTTTCCCAGAGCTTTGATGCTGCCTGGCTATTCTTTACACAAAGCTTCTGTTAGAAGTCTTGGGTATTTGAGAGACTGGAGGCAGCACCTCTGCAAGAGTAACCTGTCCTCTCTCTCCAGCAGCAAGGAATTGTTTCCTCTACCTGATGTTTCAAGTTTATATTTCCCTAGTTTCAGGTTAACTATTAAGCAGAAATTTCCTGATGTCCACCTTACAGGCTGTGGTTTAAGTTTATTCACATTAAGTGTTTTAATACAGAGCACAGTTTGCCAGCCTTTGTCACGCAGAGAGCAGTGCAGGATGATGCAGTCCCTGATGGGGACCTGCCCTAACGGGTGCCCACCCTACATTAAAGCCAGCTTTGATTGGGAAGGAGAATGAACACAAGCTCTTCAGCTCCTGCCCTGGTAGATATCCATCAACATCAACAGCAGTCCCTGCATTATGCTCTGATCTCTCCCAACCTCTGCCTTATGGAGACAGGGCAGTGCTGGTGCTCAGTTCATCGCCATCTCTGAAGCTAATGGACCATCACAGGCTTCTCATTGTCACCGGGAGCAATGCAGGAGTCAGGCCTTAACCAGTACTGAGAAACCACTTAGCAATGGATTGAATTGCTTCCTGCCCCTGGGTTTAATGCTGCTCAGAGATGCTCTCAGTTCGGGGTGGCAATGACAGCGCTCTGCTCTCCACAGTGCCAGGCTTTTATATTCATCTTCCCTTAAGCAGAGGCTATCACTCCAAGCTGTTGTGAAGAATTAATTAATAAAACACTAGCAAGCACAAAAACTAAGAGAGAGGTAGGAAATGTTATAAAAACAAAGCCAAGCCCTTGTATCTCTTTGTTATCACATTTATTTACCACATTTGCTGCTTGTTCCCCTTTGAATGGGCAGCAGCCACTCAGAACAGCAGTGATGCACTGGTAGTGTCATAAAATGGGAAATATTTCTCATCATTTGTGTTTTATTTGTTTGGATCAAAGGAGAGACGCCATTTTTTTTCCAAAGAAAACAAAACTTCCATTTTAAAAGGGGAAAAAAGCACTTCCTTTAATGTTTTCAATGATCATAGATTGTAGAATTGTGTTGGTTTGAATGGATCTTAAAAATATCTCAGTCCATCCCACTGCCATGGGCAGGGACACCTTCCACTACTCCAAGTTGCTCCAAGCCCTGTCCAACCTGACCTTGGACAGTTCCAGGGATGGGGTAGTCACAGCTTCTCCAGGCAACCTGTGCCAGGGCCTCACCACCCTCACAGGGAAGAATTTCTTGCTAATATCTAATCCAATTCCACCCTCACCACAAAGGTTTGTCCTGGTTCTTGAGCACAGAATGTAGCTCTCTTTGATTTTTCAGGACTTCGTCTGTCTTTTTCTTCTCTGCTCTTTTCTCCATGCCCCTTTTTATAGTTGGAAGAGTAAGGGAGAAGAGACCATCTGGTTAAACTGATGCATTGGGAAATCAGAAAATTTCAAAGTGGTGGGGAAAACTTTCAGGTTTAGTTTTTCCACCTGGAATTTTTCATGGGAAATTTTTGCCCTCTTCTCTCTTCCTTTCCAGCACTATGTTGGCAGGCTGCTGATGGGGTAATAACAGCTTGAAAAACATGTTAGTAGGAGATGAAAACAGATGCTGACTTCAATTTGGGGCAGCTTGGGAATGATGGCAAGATAGATGGCTTTATTACAGCCTGACGCTTTTGTTGGTGATGGGGTTTTATATTCACTGCATTGAAGCTTTAGTGGTAATTGTGATGTGCTGGGTACTCACCATAGCTTTGAATTTTCCAGATTTGAGGAGAGGTTGCTCTCCTGGAAGTTATTGACATTTTTTAAGACACTATTTAAAAGATATTATTTTTTAAGACATTGTTTTTTAATGTCTTTTAACTCTGTCCATGGTGGCAGTGTCTTGCTGCTTGCTTTCTTCTGCTGGTTACACTGTTTTCTCACTGTCCTGGCAGTGGTGGCTGGTCTGTTCTCTATTCCTTTTCTCTCTCTCTCTCTTTCTCTCTTCTTTCCTTTAGATTCATGAGCTCAACACTCGCATGTCTGCAATCGAACGCATTCTGAACCGCTTGGAGGAAAAAATCCTGGTGCACTCTCACAAGGTAACTGGGCAAAGCCAAGGTGCTCTGCAAGGAGAGAGCTTGGGTTGTGCTGGGCCCCTCCTCTGATCATTGAGAGGCTTCCCTGAAGCAGCCAGCATTGCAGGGAGAAAGCTGGATAGACAAAATCATAGAAATATTTAGGTTGGAGAAGACCTCTAAGATCACTGAGTCCAACCATTAACCTACCACTGCCAAGTCCACCACTGAACCATGACCCTAAGTGCTACAGTGACTTGGGTTGTTTGAGTTTAGTCCTCTGTTTTGGCCTTGGAGGCTGTTCTCTAGTTCCAGGTGATGGAGTGCCTCAGAAAACATTGCATGGCAGGACAAATTTAACCCGTTTAGACCCCCTTGCAAGCCAGTGCTCTTCTTGCTCCTTCTGCACAAGGAAAACTGGGTTTCAGGCTGATGCTTTATGAAATGCTAATTTCAGGAGTTTTGTTAAGTGGGTGTCTGTATATCCACAGAGCTGTGACAGCTCATTTGGAATCACAGGACACTTGTTTAGTCCCTATGAGGAAATCATCTGGTTATTGTGCCTGTAAGATCTGAGTCAAGGAGGATTTCTGCATCCTTTCTGAGCTGCCCTCGTCTTACCATGCCATAAAACTTGGAAGAAAACATCTAAATGAAGTTAAAGCTGAGCAACAATGTAGAAACTGTGAATACTTAGGCCGCTAAACATTGATTTTTGGGTTTCTGATTTTAGACTATGCACACTTTTCCTTTGTGTGAACCCATCACCGCTCTGGTGGCTGACAGCTCAGTAGAATGGACGGTGATAATTACAGGGAGGTTCCCTCTAGGCATAGATGAAACGATGCAATTTCTCCTTTTTTTTCTAAAATTCGTAATGGGGGATGGCCATGTTTGTGATCATTCAGTGTTTCTGTCAGTAAGCCTGACCAAGGGAGTAGGAGATGCACACAGTGGCAGGTTCCCATGCTTTATTCCCATATCTAGGGCAAAGCAGAGCAGAGGCAATGGGTCTAGACTGCTGTGGGACAGGTTGGAGTTAAGTATTAAGTAAAGATTTCCAGTAGAAAGGACAGCAGAGCCTTGGAATAGGTTGCCTGGGAGAAAGATTGCCTGCTGCAGATGCTCTTGTTCAAGGTTGTTAAAAACAGCTTAGACAAAAACCCACCAGGTATGACGCAGGTAATTGTATTCCCATCTTAATGCAAGGGACAGCGAGTTCAGGAACTTCTGGAGATCTCTTCCAGTGCCTGGGAGTTTAATAGGATTCTTCTCTGGGTACCATGAATTGCCCCTAATAACCGGGCCAGGTGGAAATAAGCCATCTGTCCTACAGGAAAATTTGCTTCATGGTTTCTCATCACAAATAAGATTATCTAGAGACTATGAAAGCTACCTCTGGGAGTGGCAATTCCCATGGCTGCTTCCCTCACCCTGGTGGACCATGTCTTTGGGTTGCTGTGATCTCTGCCCCCAGCGCTACCAGCCACATCATGATTCCTAATGAAAACGTGGTGATTTTTGGCCCCAAATCCCCAGTGCACACCTTTTCGAGGGTGGGGGAAAGGCAGTTTTCCACAGGGCAAAATAAAGATGTTCTGTGTGTGGAGAAAATGGGAATGAAGGACCTTTAGAGCAAGGGTTTGTATTCCTCAGAGTGGAGCTGGTCTCTGCTGCTCCCCTGGGCAGTCTGACTGCTCCTCAGGAATACGGGTGTGGAGAGGGGCTCAGAGTTCTTGTTGCAAAGTCCATCTGTCCACTTCTTGAGCTCCTCTGCTTGGTGAATGTGTCTGGACCCAGGCAATGCCCTGTTGTCCATCACAGGAGACTGTCACACAACTCCCTTCTTCTGCTCCTTCAGTCTCCAGCCCCAGAGTCCCAAACTGATCCCGATGCCGAGGAAGAGGAGTTGAAGAAGAAGCTGGAGGAGTTAGCCAGCAACATCAGTGACAAAGAAGTCTCTTCTGAAGAGGAGAAGCATGAAGAAAAGAAAAGAGCAAAGAAACCAGAGATGAGTTCCTCCAGCGATGACATGGCCAGAGATGCTCAAAAGGTAATCTGTGTCCTCCCACCCGTATTGTTCCAGGCTGCATCTGTGATTCCTTCTGCTCTCAGTGGTTTATGGTTTTACACCATGATAATGGAACTCTTCTTCTGTCCCACACCTCCACTTTGATGCCTGCCAGGGCCATGGTGTGTCTGACTCAGCTGTTTGCTTTAACAGAGTGTCAAGGGATTGGGAAGTCCCAGGGTGTTGGATCTGGGCGTTTCTCCTTGTAGGCTCTCCCAGTCTCATCCAAGAGTCAAAAGTAAAGCCTCTTAGAGGCTACTGCCTGTCACAAAGAGGTACAAAACCTCCACATCTACTTAGAGTTGTGCCAGGACCTGGACATAGTTATGGAGAAGAGTCCTGGGGTGGGAGAAGAGCTTGGTGATGATTTAGTACCAGCAGCCTTTGTCAGGCACCTGCTACAGCCTGAAATGTCTTTTCCACACTTGTCAGTGCTCCTGAGTCCCTAAATCCCTGATCCCTTTTCTACTCTGCTAGATCAGTATTTACAGCACTGTGCTGGCTCCTATCCCCTACTATGTGGTGGGTGACCTGTGGGTCGGGGAGAGGAGGAGGGATCATAGCATCTATGCAGTGTGTCTCCAGTTGTGCAGAGCCCCCCATGATGATCCCTTAGCACAAATGGAGAGGTCAGCATTCCCTGTTGGGTCTACAAAGGCTGATTTGTTCATCCCTTCCCTTCTGCCTTGGCTGTGGAAGGGGTACTTGTGAGTTGTTCTGACACATCCATCACTGGCGAGCTCAGCAAAGGAAGCAAGTGGGCACCACGCTGCTCCTCTCCAGTAAAGCTCTTTTCATCTGAGGTTGCAATGACTTTTTCATGATGCCATAAGACCTCCTTCAGTGTGCATTTGTTCATCAGCCAGTGGAAAACCTGGTGGTTTTGGGTACCATTTGCTGTGCCACTGGATCAGCTGTGTGCTGCATCCTTACCCGACAGCATCCTTCACCGCCTCCTTTTTCCTGAAGGCTGCTTTTAGATGATTGTTGCAGCCAGACTTAACTACTTCTCATAGATTGAAGGACGTGCATCATCTTAATAAGCATTTCCATTTAAATGCAGATAAATGGTAACTTAACTCCTGTGTGAGCTGCTGATGTGCAGCAGACAGAGGCTCAAACCCTGAACAGGCAACTGTATGGTATCAGTGTAAGATTCTTGATTCTCATAAATGAAGCCTGGATCCTTCAGATTTTCTACTTTCTTTGCACCCAACCCACCTATGAAGCAGGGGGGAGTATTGAGATAGAAATGTCTGCAGTGATGTAGCTGGACCAGCCTTGATTAAAGGCTGTATTGGTGTGGATGTTTTTTAACAACTCCCCTTATACCAGAGCCAGGTTTGGGTTTTGATGGTTTTTTGTTTAAGTCTCCTCCAGTCGGGAGGAAATCTTCTAACTGGAGAATGCTGTGATGAAAGCACACAATCCTAATGGAAAATGTGAAAAAAGTCCATTGTACCGTGAAGGCACCATAAAATTATAAAAATATCATCTGGACTGAGTTAGCTGGTTCTCTGCAGGACAGCTTGCCTGGTAATAAGGTGCAGTTGTAAACACAACTGTTTTGTCACCGGCACATATATCACCCCCATCTCCTTGGTTTCTAGGGAATTATCAGTTGAGAGAGAGAGATGATGAGTTTCTTCAGCCCATTTTTATGTGTGCTTAGCACCTCATCAAGCTGACAGCACTTAGGAGCATTATTGGCATCAGTGCTCCTTGAGGAGGTAAGAGAGGACTTTAGTCTCAAGTTCTGGCAGTGTGGCAATACAATCATTTTATGAGGTTTGCTTGTTTTTATTCTTTTGCCACAAACTCAAGGAGTTATTTCCATCCCTGCTCAGGCCCGCTGAAGTGTAAAGCAATATGCTGCAATTAGATCTCAACTGCTGAGTAACCAAGAGGCTTTCAGGTGGCCAGGTGCTGTCAGACAGCTCCGGTGGCACCGCTTCCAGCGAGCAAAACATCCCTCGATAACCTTTTTTTCCAAGCCTTTCGAGATGACTTCTTTTGTCAGAGCCATCCTCCAGAAAGCACGGGCTGAGATCAAAGCTCTGCTTTAGCCACGCATCCGTCTCCAGTGGAGAGCCCTTCAGGAACAGCGTAAGCCCGTTAATTACCTCTTCTCCATCTATCTACAGCTCCTGAAGGTCTGATGCCCCTTTCACCCCCAACTTGTGCTGTTTTGTACACCACATTAAAATAACGTCCTTATTTTTTCCCCGCTCCCACCCTCCGCTTTGGCTGTGCTGGGTGTTCACAGAGGTCGTCGGCTCAGGCTTTGAGCGAAATCACGGCCAAAGTGCTGAGAGCCATAAACGCCACGGAGAAAGCAGTGTGGGAGTCGTTGCACGGAGAGAGCCAGTGCAACGGTGGCTGTGCCCTCCCTGCAGGGCAGCTTCCCAGCCTGGGAGATGGGAAAGAGGTGGCCGAAGCATACCGTGAGCTTGAGGAAAATGTAAGGTTCACGAGAACTTTCTGCGAGCAGTGTGGGCATCGGGGGGTGGGAGTGTAGAGGAATCCCCCCCTGGATTTCTGGTTAGTGGGCAGGTCAGCACTAAAAGGATGGTCAGCAGAGGGATTAAAGAGTCTGGTCTTGTCCAGTGGTGATACAACAGCAAGAGCAGGTGCTCTGTCTTGTGGGTTCCCTTTCCTTGGTTCCTGATTCCCCTGGGTGAGTGCCAGGGAGAGAAGAGGAGCACAGTCCCCAACTTGCAGTAGCAGCACTGCTTTGCTGGACTTCAACAGTCCTGTGCTCCAGCAAGACTTGTGTCCCATTTCTCTCCAGTTCTTCCCAGCACTGTGTTTCATCATCGAGGGTACCATGACCTACCTGTTTAAGAAGGCTGGCCTGTCCCTGGGGCTGATGGGCTCGTGCAGGTGACAAGGCTACATCTAGAGCATAATCCCCTGCTAGGTTTGTGTGACACTGTGAAGCACTGACAGCTTTTTTAGCTGCTATAAACCCACATATGTGGAAATGGATTGCATCCACAGTGCCATGCACCAAGCTCCAAAGAAACGGTTCAAAGAAGAGTTGAATCTCCATCTGGGTGGCCAGGTTTTGCTGTAGGAAATGGGGGAGCAGGGTTTTATAACATGTGCTGTGGCTCACCTCTCACTGGGGAAAGCCTGCAAATAAAAGCAGGGAGCTGCAACACCTGGATGGTTTTTGGCCAAATACAGCATCCCAGAGGAAGAGGGTTGCAGGCATGAAGGTTTTGAGGTTCTCCTGCTCCAAGGAGAGGGGATAGGGCTGGGAAGGATGTGAACTTTGGGCTTAGTGCTGCTGCCGTCAGTGCTGGGACAGGGATGGGTAGATAATGGCTCTGGGAGATGTGTGTCATCCTGCCATTCCCTCGGGGATCCTGGCTGAGTCACAGCTGGCTGGCCACTCTCTTCTCTCCAAGGCATGCCACCTACCTTGGAGGGCACTGGGAGAGCCTGATGGGCCAACAACAAATCCCTACAACTCACAGGTTGAGTGGTATATGGCTTTAGGGCTTGCACTGGGGTGGGTGGGACCTGTGGGACATATGCTGCTGTGATTTGGGTGGATGCTTGGTACTTCAGTGCATGCAGAGGGCTCCTGCCAGGCAGTTTTGCATAATGTCCAGTCTGGGTAAAGCAGATAGGGCTGGAGGAGCAGGAATTGCATTAGCAATAGTGACATGTTGGGATCAGTCAGCAGAACAGTGACCAAAACCCATCTGATCATCTTATGTGATCGCATACTGACATATTAGTGTTTCCTGAACTGCTTTGCTTGGACTTGTGTCCTTGTAACAGCCCAAAAGGAGGCAAGTGGCAGTGGGTTTATTGGGATAGATCCTTTTACCCTTCTTCTCTATGAAGCAAAGGGAGGACAGTGCAGGCTGACCATGCCCCCAGGCAACCCAGCAGCACAAACACCCTTAAAATAGACTGAGAAGATATGAAAAGTCAGTCTATCTCCTTCCCAGCTCTCTGCCATCACAGGACATGGCAGCCTGAGCTTGTTTGCAGGTACCTGCCCTCCCTCCGAGCACATGGCATAAAGATGCTGCTGCTCCTCAAGCAGGTCACTGAGTTTTGGTGCTTCCTGTGTTCCCACTGAGCCTTTTACCACTTCACCCTATTGGTAATTGCTCTCTAAAAGCCTGGGGAAGAGAGGAAATGAGATGAAAAGCCATGTCAGAGCTGACTGGTACTGTCTGTGCTGCAAGGCAAGAAGGCAGTCAAAAAAGAATGGCAGGAGCTGTTGCATCTGTGGCTGCAGTCACACCAGGAGAGAACTCTAGGGAGGTTGATTCTGCAATGTAGGTTTTCTTCTTCCTGTATTTCAGGTGTACCTGACTGCTGGAAAGACCTACAGGCTTGAGAAGACCCTGAAGGAGCTTGAGGAAGGGGCTCAGCACAGCGGCACTACCGACTCAGAGCTGTCAGAGCTGGAGGACAAAGTGGCCTCGGCTGCTGCTCAGGTGCAGCAGGCAGAGAGCGAGGTGAGGGCTTAGGTCTGAGAGGTGCTTTGCCCGGCCACTGATGGCAAACAAAGCCAGTGGTGGATTCTCCAGCCACTATCTGTATGTTCTTCTTCCTCTCTCTAAAGATATCAGACATCGAATCCCGAATTGCGGCTCTGTCTGCAGCGGGGCTGACGGTGAAGTCGGTGGAAAAGGCAAAGAAGAAGTCAAGTGGGCAGGTGAGCATGGAGGATGGTGGGTATGAGGTCTCAGCCCTGAGATGTACATGCTCCCCTGGGCTGTTGCTGCTGCCTCTGGGTGCTGCCAAGGGCTGCCTGGCTTGCTGAGCTGTGCCCAGCTCTCTTCCTGCCGCCCAGGGCTCTGCAGACCAAGCTGTCTGCCTCCTCTTGCACCCCCAAAGAAACCCCTGCCCTTCCTCTGCCTGCAGGCTGCCTGCCTCCACTCTCCCGGTCCTGCCAGCAGCAGTCCAGGGGAGTCTTTGGATGACATTAAAGTGAGTATGTGTTTAGTCAGTGCTGGCTTTGCATGTGGCACAGCTTTAAGCCTGGAGACAACTGCCGCTTTCAAAGCAGTTGCCTCATTGGGGACCTCTGCCCTTCCGTCCCCTTTCCCACAGCAGGCTGCTCCCCTTCCCTTGCAGGCAATGCCCGGACTGCAGAGGTTCAGGAGGAGGTTCAACAGTCCACTGGAAATCACGGGTAAGGAGCATGGCTCTGCCTGTGGGAGATGGGGACCTGTGGGTGATGGACTGGGCTCTGGGGAATGCTTGGTCCTCTCTCTGCATCCAGCTGTGTGTCTGCAATGGGGGTCCCCTCCCCTGTGCTCACGTCCTCCTGGTCAGACAGCCACAGGAGAAACCTGTGATGGATAATGTGGAAAGGAGACAGCAGTTGGCAGGATCAGGGATAGTGATGGGAAAGCAGAGGTCAGGCTGAGGTGGGTCAGTCCTCCAAGAACCAGGGCTGTCTGTGCAGCCTGGGCTCTGGCCACTCGAGTTCAGGGAGACATCTGCGTTACTTCATCTCTGGCATCCTGCAGGCTGTTAGATCTCAAAGCCTTGCCTAAGCCCATCATCGCTTCTGACAGCAATTTCTTCCTTGCTTGGCCATCCTGGAGAACGTATCCTTCCCTGGACGGTATGCCCCACCCCTGGAAGTGTTCCAGGCCAGGTTGGAAAGGGCTTGTAGCAACCTGGTCTAGCTGGAGGAAGGTGTCCCTGCCGATGGCAGGCAGGTGGAACAAGATGGGCTTTCAGGTTCCTTTCAACCCAAACCACTCTATAACTATAAATCTCAACCCTGTTGCCCACCTGCCTCAGCCACTGGTCTCTGGTGGGGGGCAAGAGGCCCTCCAGGGCCCAGTTATGACAAACAGCAGCTTCAAAGTAGACTGTGACCTGAAACTTGGCACAGCAGCTTGTGTGGTAGGGGGGCAATCACTGGAAATGTTTCATCCTGACCAATATCAGTGAGACTGATTAGGAAATTACTTTTCTATTTCTCTCTTATCACACTCACAAGCTTAAAGACAGAAAGAACGGCTCTCCTTCCAGATAATGGAAGATGAAGGGAGGGAAGGGGGAAAAGATCATTTAATGCGGAGGTGAAATTAGCATTTCCCCCATTCACACAATTAACAGTGCTGTTTCCTAAGCTGAGGGTGGTAGGTGGAAAGGTTCCTTGTCCTCATGCTCAGGAGTCATCCACTCTCCTTCCTGCAAAGGACAGGCAGATAAAGGCAGCCCGTGGGACGCGTCAGCCCTGTGAGGAGATAGAGGGATGTGCAATTGGGACAGACGTCACCAGGCGAACCCAATCCCCTCTGCCTGGGCTGGGTGATGGGGTGACTTGGCCTCCTGATTGCCCTCCCTGCGGGTCAATGACTTGAAAAGCTGGGCCTAAAAAGGTGCAGCTGGTGGAAGCTGGTCACAGAGAAGAGAGGAGAGGAGATGACTTAGTAGGTCAAGAGAGTGTCGTAGGCTTGGGTGGTGTGAGAGCTCCTCGCAGGCAGGCAGAGCTTTCCAGAGCAGAGGCCCTGACTGCTGGCAGACTGACCCAGCTCACACAGTGCTCTGGAAACCTGAGTAGCAGCAACTCCTGTCTCCTTGTTATCAAAGGGCTTCCCATCACCTTCCTGGAGAGGGAAGTGCCATGATGCATCCACACCCACAGTCAGCAGGGGATTAGTAAACCCCAAGTGACTTGGTGGGTAACTGAAACCTCTGGTGAGGTAGATGAAGAGCTGCTCCCCATCTCTCCTTGTTCTCTACAGGTTTTGATGATTCCTTTGACCGCAACTCTGTTTACCGTGGTTCCCTGACGCAGAGAAACCCCAACGGGAAGAACAGGAGAGTGGAGAGGCTCTTTGCGGTACGGACCCAGCCACCCAGAAGGGCTGCTGGCCTGGATTCCATGTGGGACCTGCCTCCCTGGGCTTTCACAGAGGGACCTGTCCCTCCCCACACTCTCCTCAAGCCGGTGGAGTGCCCAGCTCCCAGCATTGGTCTCACCATGCTGACTGGTGGGCAGGCACACCTGGGCATCACCCCCTGAGGTCTGGGATGTCACGAGCCCCAGTGGGGGGGGACCAAATGATGTACATCTTCGAATTCCTGCTGTCTGCGTGGTCTGTGGGATGGGGCAGGTCCTCGCTCCATGCAGTGGCAGCTAGAGGGGACAAGGAGCACACTGTCCTCGTCACCTGGGGTGGCTCAGGGCATGGGCACAGTGAGTGGTGAGCTGAGGTTTCTCCTTGTGCCTTGCAGAAGCCTGTGATGACCCACCTGTCCTGAGGAGAGGGGAACCTTCCTGCTACCGCATTTCAGTGATGATACAAGACCTCAGCGCAAAGCCTCTCACCGCCTTCCCCGCAACACTTTCTCCTCCTTCTCCTATGCCCTTCTCTCCCTGAAACCCTGGACAGAAACGAAGCCAAAGGCCATGGGCAGGAGGTCTCACTGGGAGCTGTTGGGGAGAGGAGCAAGGCACTGGGGTGCATTCACGTGGCCAGGGGCTTCCCTGGGAGGATACAGGCATGAGACCTTGGCTTTGGGAAGCTCTTGGGTACTGGGTCAACCAAAGGGACCCGAGGAGGAAGCTGGATGTCAGCGTGGCATTCAGCACAGGGACCAGGAGAAGTGGCACAACCCTCACTTGGCAAAAGCTGCCAGTGCCTGTCCTTGCTCTTTTCCAGGCTGGTGGTGAGCAGGGACAGGCACTGACAGTGGGGTGGAGGATGCCCCTGGGGTACCCCAGGTAGAGCAGGGCCCCGGGAATCCCAGTGCTGGGATTTGGATCGTGGTGCTGGTCCCAGCTCCCTGCCAAGTCCTTGGAAGCACTCCTTCCCTTCCCTGAGCAGCAAAGGAGGTTGAGAGCAGTGCTGGTTCCCTCCCAGTGAGCACTTGGCCAACAGATCTTTGCACCAAGCCATGCAAGCACCCACTGAGGCTTCTCGCCGCCGTGCCTGAAGTGAGTGTGACCATCTGGGGACATGAGTGAGGCGAGGCTTGCAGGAGGTGTTGGCAAGGAAGGTGGAAGAAATGATGGAGAGCTTGTTGGGTATTGGTTTCCTTTTCCAGCTCTCAAAGATACCTCCTCTCCATGTGAGGTTATATCAGCAAGATATATAGAAGAGCTCCAGCAAGCAGAGTGTAGGTGCTTTTCTGCTCTGCAGAGGGGTCAGCTCATGCCAAGATGCACTTTGTGGATGAGCACGTCCCCTGTCCCTGATGATGGCATTGTAGAATCTGTTAGGACCACCCCATCCTTTGGAGAAGCTGTGATGACCTTCGGGAGCTGCAGTGGCCCTGGGCTCCTGCCAGGTGACAGTGGCATTGGTAACACCCTCCCAGATGCTCCAAGATGTTTGTTTTCCTCCAATATTTAATTCCCCACATCCATTAACCCCCGTGGATCAGTGCCTGGCCCCATATCCATGCCCAGGGTATTGGGATGGGAAGAAGGTTGGTTTCTCTTACAGGTCGCTTTGGAAGAGTTTTTTTGCTTGGTACCTGCTGGTCCCTATCCTGTATAGGCCCCACCTCCCTCCTTCCCTCCCTGCCTCTCTCCTTCCACAGTGGATGATGGGAGGAGGATCGCTTGCAGCCAGAGTGGGGATGTCAGACCAATGCTGACAGTTTCCCATCAATGGCCACTCAGGCTGGACCCTTTAGGCAAATCCTGTGCATCTGAGCTAAAACCACTTTAATTATGAGCAGTAGGATGAATTATCATGCAAGTAACACATACATTGGCTTTGTCTAGAAACTGCTAACTGCCTAGAAATTGGTCCTGTGGTCATCCCAGAGCAGTCTTGTAAGTCCATAGTCTGGGCCTCCCAGATGGAAACAAAACCAGTTTCTTAATTTAAAATTAAATCCTTCTGGCCTGACGCTCAAAAGGGTAAGTGCAAATCTTTGCTGTGGCAGAAACTTTCCCAGACACCGTGGCATTAATGGCTACATTTCTAGCTGCTCTGCTGGCCTCGGTGCTGGGATGTCAGCTCCTTGCTGGCAGAAGGGAGCTCCACCAAGACCTGGGGGGTTTGCACCCAGCCTTCTGGTGTCAGGGCTCAGCCTTTTCCCCAACTCCATCTCTTGCTGTGTCTGGTTTCAGCCATAACTCAAGTCCTTCCATGCTTGACCCTGTAAAGAAATCCTCACGGTGAGCTTCAGCAGTGCAAACTAAGGCATCGTTCAGGCTGTAGTCATCCACATTGTTCTCTGCTGGTTTTCTGACCCATCTTTCTGGCTAGAGATTCTATATATGTATACTAAATCATGCAATAAAGGCAGTTTTGTGTCCAGAACCATCCACCCATTTTCCTGTGTCTGTTCTTTTAGCTCACTCAAGCAAATGTTCCTCTCTCTTTCCGTAGAATCACAGAATGGTTTGGGTTGGAAGGGATCTTAAAATTCACCTCATTCCATGCCCCTGCCATGGGCAGGGACACCTTCCACTAGACCAGTTTGCTCCAAGCCCTGTCCAACCTGACCTTGAACACTTCCAGGGATGGGGCAGCCACAGCTTCTCTGGGCAACCTATGACAGGGCCTCACCACCCTCACAGGGAAGAATTCCTTCTCAATATCCCATCTAACCCTGCCCTCTGGCAGTGGGAAGCCATTCCCTCTTGTCCTGTCACTCCAGGCCCTTGTCCAAAGTCCCTCTCCAGCTCTCCTGGAGCCTCTTTAGGCTCTGGAAGGGCCTCTCCGGTCTCCCCAGAGCCTTCTCTTTTCCTGGCTGAACACCCCCAGCTCTCCCAGCCTGCCTCCAGAGCAGAGGGGCTCCAGCCCTTGGGGCGTATTTGTGGCCTCCTCTGGACTCACTCCAGCAGGTCCGTGTCCGTCCTTTCCTTTAACCAATCTGTGCAGTCCTTGCTTTAAAACTAGCCAGGTGAAGCAGGCAGGAATTGAATCAGCAGCACTGAAGCAGAACAGAGGCAGATGGTTCTGATCAGGATGGCAATATGAATAGTCAGATACTGGTCACAGAGCCACAGGTGTGAAGACTGTGGGTTTGTAGTACCCAGTGGTGAAGCCAGGTGGGCAAAGGGGATGCACGGGGTGGGGGTAAGGAGGGGCTAATCCTGAAATAAATGCACTGCTCCAACTTGCATGGACACCCTGAATCAAATCTGGCAGCTGAAGCCACAAGAAACACAAGCCCACTTTGAGGGGTTGCTTTAAATCTGTATTAAATAATAGCAGCAACCCCGGGGTAGAGAGAGACCTGCTGAGCCCAGGGTGTGGGTTTCCATGGCTGAAACATGGGGGGTTTATATCTCTTTACCCCTTTCCCTGCCTTTGCAACACCTCTGTGGCAATCACCCTGTGTCCCTTGCTGCTCCTGTCACCTGTCCCCAACACTGCTGTGCTCAGGCATTGGTGTTGACAACCATATGAGATGGAGACCTGTCCCAGGGCAATGCCAGCTCCACGTGGGGGTGGCAGACAGAGACCTGCCCCCTGCCCTCACCCCACTAGTGACAGTATCTTCACCGTCCTGCCAACAGAAATATGTCCCTGTTTCAGGATGTCTCTGGTCCCAGTTTTGCCTGGGGATACCAACCAAACCCTCTGTGCTCAGGACACGAGATGGTTCCTTCAGTGTCACATTCAGCAGAACAAACAGTCAGAAATCTTTTAAATCCATTTAAAAAGTGGGGGCGGGGGGGTGGGGGGGAAGGGAAAGCAGGGGATTTGAAGCCCTCATGCCACGAGGACAAACCTATTTCTGACAACCCGTGTGCCTCAGCAAGTTGCCTTCCCCTCTTCTCTGCATTTAATGTTCTGGTTTCCTTAAAGCAGCTTTTTTGGGGGAGGGAAAGTGATGGAGAAAGGTACTCAGTGTGAATCCTGTGGTGGAGTTGCACTGGCAACTCAGCTCTCAGGGCAGCGTGAACCACAGATCCTCCCCCTCCCCGCAGTGGGCGCTGGGGGGAGTGATGGACCAGAAAACTTCCCCTTGTCCAAAATAACCCTGGGTCGAGGACAAGGATTAACATATTCCCAAACTATCTTCCTCAGCCAGTGGAAGATAAAATGCTGGTCCCTTCTGAGTCATGAAAATCCCTGTGCTGATTTGATGACAGGGGACAGCGGGGAGGGGAGATGCCCCGGCTCGGTCCCTGCCAGGACTCGCCTCTGACATCAGCACGAAACCGGCCATAAAAACAGCGACCGGAGGGGACTCCGGCTCAGACAGCAGCCACTTGGCTCAGCGGGACGGCAGCCGGGCACCTCGCCTCGCCACGGTAAGTGCAGCCCCGGCTGCGGGAGCCACGCTTTTCTCTCCCTCTCGTGATGCTTTTGAGCCCTGCTTTGCCTCCCCGTGTGTCCGTCCTTGCGTCTGTCCGACCGGGCTGGGGGGTTCCAAAAATTTGGTGGCCGCAGCAAACCTGAACTCACAGGAGCCCAATCTGCCTCCTGCTCAGCACGCTGCAAACTTTTCCTTTGCAAAAGTCCTTGGAATCAAAGCTGCCGCCACACCCGCGCCGTGTCCTGCCTCACCCAGCTCTCCCGCTTCTGCCCCGCTCGCCCTGGCAGAAATCAAGCCCATTGCTCAGCCGTGCACGCTCCTGCTCATCACCTCAGCGCCCTGGAGCAGGTTACAGGGTATTCCCGGGTTTCCATTTCGGCAGCCGCGTCCAGGGGTGGGTGCCCAGGGTGCAGAGGTGACCGTGGTCCATTCATCCATCCCCCAGCATCCAGCAGCAAACCTCATTTGAGGCTCTGCAGCCTTTGATTGGTGCAGCCAGCCCTGCACTTTGGTGGTGGCTCCTCTCCCCATCACCCAGGCTCTGGGGTCCCGTGGTGCACCAGGGCTCCCAGAGGAGAAACGATGAACTCTGTCAGGCCTGACCTAAGGCACTAGGCTGGGACCAAAACCTGTTTTAATGAACATCAGGTTTGCACAACTCATGTTTGGAGGGGATACTTTCCCAAAAGGTATCAGCCCCAGCAAAACCCCCGGGTTCTGATCCAGTTCTCCTGAGCACTTTGCATCGCTGCTTGCCCGGGGATACTGTGACAGGGACACATATCAACAGCAAAATCCCTTCCCTCCCGCAGCCGCATCGGAGGCCGCCGTCTTTGTGGCGTGAAGTGCCGGGGGCCGGGAGACTTCGGAGACGAGCCACTGCGGCCGGAAAGTGCTGGGGATGAAGCTGGGGGCCACCTGCCTCCTGTGCCTGCTGCTCGCCTGCCTGACCCTGCCCGTCGCCTCCGGCCGCATCCTCCAGCGCTCCATGGAAATCAGGAGTAAGGAGAACATGAGTAAGGGAGTCCCCCCAGACAACACCCTGCTTCCAGCCCCCTCTGCATCCCCAGACTCAGCCGCATTTTTGGGGGTGAGGAGGGGGTGTAATGATGCAGAAGCAAAGGTTTGCTTTGAAACAGCCTTTGCAAGAGCTTTTATCCCTCTCTTCCCCCTTTCCTGCTCCCATTGCATTCTTATCCCCCCACCCATGGGTGAAACGCCCTGTTCTCTCCCTCATCACCCCCGATGGTTCCTTGGCTTTTCCCTTGCAGACCCGGACATCGACCCCTCCTGGTACACGGGACGCGGGATCAGGCCGGTGGGGCGGTTTGGGAGGCGGCAAGCCCTAGGTGAGGGTACCCACCTCATGGGGGGCCAGCAGCGAGCCTGTGCAGCCCCCCACCCTCCCCGGGAGGAGCGGAACCCTTGAACTGAAGCTGACAATAAAATCCCTTCTCCTCTCGTCCCTGTGTCCCAGCCTCTCTGTTCCAAAATGCAGCATGAGGGGGACGTGGAGGGTGCAGGGGGGAGAGTGTGACCCCAAAATTTGCTGGTCTCGTCAAGGCCCAGCACTGAGGGTCTAGTGTGGTTTGGGGAGGGAAAGGTTAATTTTGGGAAGGGGAGGGAGCAGATGGAGTATAGGAGTGGCAATTAGCACCTAATGTCTGCCAGCTGCCCTAAGAAAGAGGATTTAGGCAAGACAAGGGAGCAAATCAGCCTTTTTGTGGAGGATGGGCTCTTGTACTGCTCCAGGATGGCTCAATCCTGGGGAAGCACCACAGGTGAGTGTCCTGGCTGGTGTGGGGTGCTGGGGTGATTGGTCCTCAGGGGTAAGATAACCTCCCCTGCATGGGGAAGATCTTCAAGGGTGTTTGCTGCCTGGCATTGCTGTCAGGCCATGCCCCAAAAACTCAGAGGTTACTGCCCTGCAGACAAGGTGAGTGCTGCTGCCGTTGGAGAGAGCACGGGTGGTTTTTTCTCCTTTTCCAGCCAAGGTGCATTCCCACATCTAACTCATAATATGCAAAAGGGAGGCCCTGCAAGCCACGGGGTACTGGGACACCACTTGTTTGTTTTGGCCCCATTCTGGCTCTTATGTTGGCAATAAACCCATGATTTCTCCCAAGGATGGGCTGTGACCCACTATGGGTTAGATGGGGTGAGGGAGCACTGGCTCTGGTCCCTGCCACCTCTAAGCTTCCCCACTTGCAGGCTGACATCCAGGGCAGGGAAAAGTAACACACCTTCAGGGCAATATTCTCTTTATTTGCAGCCTGAGTGTGAAGTCCCCAGAATGCACCTGCTTTGCTCTGGAAAGCTAAACCCTCCCTTTTCAGATGGAAAGGGAGATGGAGGAGGTGATGTGCAGCTGGGGTGAGGGGATGTCACCAGTCAGAGTTGGTGGTGGTGTTGCTGGCAGGTCGTGCTCTTCTCTGGAAGTGGAAGCTTGGTGGAAGAAAACCCTGTGCTTTAGCTCTCGGATGAAGGCAGTGCCAGAGGGTTGAAGAGGCCCCGTGCACCCGGGGTGGGCTCTGAACTCGCTTTGAGGGGGAGGGTGGTCAGGCTGAGCGGCTTCTGCACTTCTGAGTCCCCACTGCTTTGTCACTGCTCCTCGTGGAGGCTTCATCCAGTCATGGCTGAGGTCCAGAGTTGCATGTCCTCAGAGCCAGCAGCACCTCCTCTCTGGCGTGCCCTCCTTCAGGTCAATTGTTGATCTCTTGTGTGGGGATGGGGCAGATGCCTTCTCTTTTTCCCGACGCAGGAGCTCTTGGACTAGGAGGAAACATGAGGCAAGAAAGGGCTCCTTTCCCCTGCTGGTGGTGTGGGGTGCGATGGCCACGCCGTTCCACCCCAGCGGACCAGCCCGCAGTTCCCCAAACAGCTAAGCTGGGGACACCGTTACACCCAGATTGGATATGAAAGCAAAATAAAATTGTGGCTTTGGGAGAAGGCCTGAAAGCCATCTCTGATACTGGAGTATCCTGGGATGGATCTGTCCATCCTTCTGCCTTAAGGAGTGGCACAGGCTGGATTGGCTGGGAAGAAAATCTCAGT